CGTTAAGAAATATTTAGGATAAGATGAAAAGGAGAAAGTATAAGAAAAGAGTATGTAAAATAGGTTAAGGTAGAAATTAAGAACTTCCTGGCATTGTAAGCTGAAGTAAAGAACAATAAAGATACGATACGATATTTAGTTTGATTTTACTTTATTGTTTTTTTTTATACAACATTATGTTTTTAACTTTAGTTACGCTTTCGTCCTCTCGTCGGTCCCCAGTTGTTGTGTGCAGACGATAATCTATATAAAAACTTTAGAAAGCGTTCTTGTTGGATCCTAGCTCCCGCCCTTGTGCCGCGTCTTTGTCCTATATATTTATTATAAATACATGTATTTTGTATGTATTTGTATGTACTATTAATATATACTATATTATATTATGTATTTATTAGTAAATATAAGTTTAGAACAGAGCTTATAATTTATAGCTGGTGCCACATTTTACACATTATAGTTGCGGATTGGATTCGAATTACGAGCTGCGAATTGTTGATTAGCCAATGAATCTGATTATCGATGCATTCGGAAACATACACCGTGTGCACACTACTAAATCTGTTGTGTTGGAGTGAGCGAGATACAAGAATGAGATAAAAAGAGAAGGGAAAGTATTTAAGTGACGTTTCCGAACGCAGCTTATCTCAGTTAAAGTAGCTAGTTGATTCGCAATTTGCAATCTGAATCCAGGGCAGCGTTCCGAAATTCACTACCAGTATTGAAATGCTATAGTGTACGTGACATAAATTATAGATTTTCAGTATTCGTAGTGAATTTTGGAACGCATCCGCAATGTGTGATATGGGCTTAAACTAACTCGGATTAAAAAATTATCCGAATAATGCAGAAAATTATAAAATACCTTGATAATGGGCAAAAGCCGGAGCAGGATGGGTAGCGGGAGCGGGAACAGGAGCGGCAACGGAAACGCCAGCTGGAGCGGGAGCTGGAGCGATAGCTGAAGCAGGAGCTGGAGCGGGAGCTGGAGCGATAGCTGAAGCATCATTGGGTGCTTCTATTACCATTTCCAATAATTGTTGCTCCATTAAAAGCTATAAAAATAGTATGTATTAATATTAATATATATGATTATGAGACTATATATATATAATTAAAATATAATAAAAAATTATCTTACGTCCTCGTCGATTATGTCCATTACGTCCTTTATTCAGTAATGAATAAATGAATACAGTCGATCGTTTTTCTTTCTCTCTCTCTCTCTCAATATGGCTTCAGGCAACCAAAAGGCGTACCCCCAACACCACTCAAAGTATAGGAGATGTTTCAATATAAGCTGTAATGCCATGGGACATAGGTCATAAGGATTGATTAGTAGATTTGAGAAAATTAAGGATTAATTTAAACGGTTCGGAAAATTTGGAGAATGCAGCCCTAATTATATCCTCTATATTCATAATATTTATAGCATAAAGCTGTGTTATGAGTTTATCAGATTCTTCAATATGTAGAGCACAATTAAAAAGCAGATGCTCCAGATTCCTAGGGGTGAATCCACATTCACACCTGTCTGTGGTAGTGATATTTTTCCGCAAAAGATGTGAACCTGTGCATATATGATGGGATTGAATCCTAGCCATGATTGTAATGATTTGTCTGGGAATTTTCTTTGATCCGCTGAACCGGAATTTGAGTGGAATGAGGTCGGTATGATTCCTGTATTCCTTGCCTTTAACTTTAAATTCCGTTTCCAATGCTTGTAATCCTTCTTCTATAATAGGTTTTCTCATATGCCAGCATATACTGGATGGGTCCAGTAGATGGTGTCTAGGTGGGGCTTCAGTGCTACCAGAAGCAAGCTTAGCAAGAGTATCCGCCATTTCGTTGCCTTCTATACCACAGTGACCAGGAATCCAAACAAGTGTGATGTCAATGTCCATATCTCTGGCTTTAAGAATTTTGTGTATAATATCATAGCATACCATGGGCTTCTTACCCCAAGTATCGATGGCATTAATACTTTTCAGTACACTTAATGAGTCAGTAAAGATGCCTACTTTCTTCTTGCCCAAAGACATAGCAGTATCAATAGCATGTATTATTCCGTATGCCTCTACAAGGAAGATATTATTGGATTTGGGTATAGGGATGGAAATCCTAATATCCACGGAAGGAGCACAGACTCCAAAACCGGCGCCTCCATCCGGTCCAATGGAGCCATCAGTAAAAAGAATAAGGGAGAACTTGAAGGATTCAATAAAATGGTTCGCTAACCTGTTTATACCATTTATGGAAAGTTTAGAGTTATTTTTGATATTATAGTAAAAATTTCCGCATTTTCTTCGGTAGTGTTTTAACAGTGTGAATCTTTCGGTGTCTATGTTAATCTGCGTGAATCTATTGTTGTAAGGATAACTTAAATATCCACTAAGTGGGTAAGTTTTGGTTTTAGATAGGTTAGAGATATTTTTTAGAGCCAGTTTAGCAATGTACGGCCAGTCATCACATTTTATTTGTGTAGAATTGTTGGTATCACGAGAGGAATCCTGTAGAAATCATTTCTCCAGTACTTCTTTAAACATATCTGATTGGTTTGAGAAGGATTTTACTATTAGTTTACAATATTCCATTTTACGTCTATAATTTAGAGGTAGCTCTCCAGCTTGGCTTAGTAAAACATTGGTGGGTGTGGATATCATTAATCCTAGGATGTTTCTAATAGTTGCGTATTGAACTCGGTCCAGACATGTCATTTTGTGTGGAGCAACGTTCAGCAAAGTGAGACCGCCCCAATTTAAAATAGATCTTATTAGGCCTCTATGTACATAAAGTAAAGTTAAAGGATGACACCCCCATTTGATGCCAGCAATTTTTTTAAGAATGTTAAGTCGTTTCATGCATTTGTGGTATAACGATTTTATATGCGTGTCCCAACTAAGTTTATGGTCAAATATATAGCCTAAGAAAGTGACTCTCGGAACAAGTGAAATAATTGAATTATTTAAGTTTAAATTACCTCTGGTATTGTTTACTAAATTACGTATGGTTTCGAAACGGGTCATATTACTAAATATACATAGATTAGTTTTCTCGGCGGAGATTTGTAGATCTAAGGCTGTAAGGTTGCTATTGAGTGTCACTAGATCATTTTGAAGAATTTTGCAAATGTTGTAGACATGTTTGCCTTCAGTGAAAATAATGATGTCATCCGCATAAGCTAGAATATGAGAATTTTTATTTAGATTTCTATGTATATATGAAATATAAATGTTGAATAAAATGGGACTAAGGACTGATCCTTGTGGTACTCCAATTGATGTTTTACGAGTTCCAAGACATTTACCTCGATAGTAACCTGTAATTGATCTATCACATAAAAGAAAGTTGATAAATTTAAGAATGTTGTAAGGGAGGTTTAAGTTAGTGAGGATATTCTTGAGTTTGGAGGGGTTGACGTGATCAAAGGCACTTTTTATATCAATAAATATAGCACCTACTTTGTTGTTAGTATTGAATGCTTTTTGAATGTAAGTTTTTAAAAATATAACGCTGTTAGCGCAAGCTTTGCCTTTACGGAAGCCATTTTGATATTGAGGCAAGCATGAAAAGTTCTCAGCCCACCACTCCAATCTGATTTTAATTATTCTTTCAAAAATTTTTAGAAATATAGAGGATAGAGAAATGGGTCTTACATCTTTGTTATTTGCTTTAGGGATAAAAATCATAATAAATTCTTTCCATGAGTTAGGAAAATTGCTCGAAGTCAAACAGGAATTGTATATACATCTTAGGTGTTTTAAGAATTTAGGTGGCAAATTTTTAATTATTGTACTGGAAAACATATCCTTACCAGGGGCTTTTTTCTTGTAACATGAAGCTTTGATTGCTACCTGAAACTCGGGATCTGAGATAGGCGAAGCTAAGAAGTTGTGATTGGTATACTCTTGCATTGTGGGATGAGGTATTGCTCTTTGAGTCAGATTGGAGTGGTGACCGGTTTTATTGGTTTCTATCGAGACTGGTGGGGGAGGACCAAAGGTAACAGTTTTTTTGAAAGTATTAATTGCCACATTATACTTTTCTTCAGAAAATTCGTCATTTTTTAAATTCACCGGTCTTCTTAACCTAAATGATTTAATAGTGTTCCACGTATGTGATATATCACTATTTGCATTAAGCGAATTACAGAATTCTCTGAATTTGAGATTTCTGATTTTACGTAATTTATTTTTAATTTGCTTGCATTTGTCCAGATAACTGTTGATATTTTCTATAGAAGGATTAGCTTTAAATTTTTGGTAAAGATCCCTTTTTTCATTAATCAATAACGAACACTCCTCGTTCCACCAATACACCGGAGGTTTTCTTTTATTATTTACAATTTTGGGTAAAGAGGCGCCAGCTTCAATTAAAGCTGAATTAATATCCTGTGTAAAATTTTCGTAATTATAGTTATTCTCTATGTTGTTATTAGAACATATACATTTGGTTGCTATGTGATTCTCACATGATACTAATATTGCTTTAAATTTTTTCCAGTCTACCCTAGAGATAGAATAGTGTGGTCTGCAACTTATTTTATTAAGGGAACATGCTTGCAATCGCAGAACAGTAGGGAAATGATCACTTCCATATTTGTCTAAAATAGTTTGCCAAGTAGACGAGGTTGCCAAGTTAGACGATACAATAGTTAGATCTAAAGCACTTTGAATGGAACCATCAGAAGATGTCCAGGTGGGTGAATCGTCATTTAATACGACCAGATTGGTATTTTGTACAGCATCTAAGATCAACGTTCCGTTAGTATTAGGTACCTGAGAGTTTGCACACCATAATGAATGTTTACCATTTAGGTCACCACAAATAACTATCTCACCCAGGCTCGCCAAGTACTCAAATAGCTTAGGCCAAGGGTTTCTATCATTTACTTCAAGAAAAGTATTGGGAGGATTATATATAACGCATATATATCCATTTTTATTTGCCCATCGAACTTTAATAATGTTGTAATCCATCTTGAAGTTAGAGCAGATGTCATTCAAAATAGGTGGTTTAATGACGGTGAAATCAATGGATTTTTCAATCAAGATGGCAGTGCCGCCACCCACTTCCCTGCGATTATAAACAATCATATTATAATTACACCATGTCATATAATCAGAATCTTTAAGCCATAAGCACCTTTCGCATAAGCACATTATAGACGAAGCATATGTATCTAAGATAGAAGCAATATCATTAACATGAGCATGAGCAGACCTGCAGTTCCGTAAAATTAAAGAGGTAATATTTGAGTTATTAAAGTTCATATTTAGTAGCAACAATATATGTTACAAAGTAAGGTAAATATTAAAAGGGTAAAATCTATCTAGACGTATTTTAGCTATATAAGGACTCTGTATGAATGCTTATTTTGCGATGGTTTCAAATACGGAGTTAGCAAGTTTCTGAATCAAAATACAGTACTGCGATTCGTTTAGGTTGATATGTAGATTGTTATTTTCAAGAACAGCGGATTCGGTGATTAATTCAGCAAATTTGCTAAAAAGGTAGGATTTAATGTCAGCAGTGTCTTCTAGTAAGTTTATGGTGTTAGTATTATTGTTATTGGCGTTGAATGTTGGTGAATAATTTGTTTGTTTGGGTTGGACAAGAGTGTCTATATTATCTGATTTATTAGGGCTACTTCTGTCAGAAGTGTTATGAGAGTCCAGTATGACAGATGCTTTGGTTTGAGGTTGATTCCGAGAGTCACTATATTTTGATTTAGCATTCAAGTTATGTTTTTTATAGCTAGTATATTGAAGAGGCAGAAAGTCCATTAGAGAGTTAATATTAGGATGCTTAATATTTTTAATAGATGGAGATCTACCTCTAAGTAAAGGCTTGGGGTTCTGTGCACATATGGAGTTAAAGGAAGGGTTCATGAAATCAGCGAGAGGTACGTTTGCTAAGCTATATCGTTCAGGTCTAAGATTGTACCAGTTTTCATCTAGTGTAGATGCATACCTTTTATAGTAGGCGAGGGCTTCTCTGGGACTCAAACCTAGCTTGGCCATAATTATTTTGATACGTCTGTTTTCAATGAACGTTGGGCAGTTGTAGTCATTAGCAGCATGGTTGGTGTCCATCTCTTTGGTCCGTATGCAATTAATGCAGTTTAAATGTCTGCTGTTACAGTTCTGTTCTTGATATTCCTTGGAGGCGCATTTTACACACACACGCGCACTTTCTCCTCCTCTGCATTGAGCGGATACATGTCCAAACCTCTGGCAGTGGGTGCATCTTCTGACCTTTTGAACAAATAGCGTAAAATATACTCGAATGTCAAAGTAAATGGCCGATTTTTGAACTGAGGAGTAGTGAAAGGTAACAATATTAGTCCTCGTCGGTTTATATACGACCTCAGAAGTATTGTCTTCTTTGGTAATAATGGTTCTATGTTTGATATATTGTATACTGATGGGTTTTTTCCAGTTACCTTGCCACTCAGGTGGTGGGTCTAGATTTTCCATATCCTCATACGTAACTGTACTATCTAAATCTCGCGTGACCATTGCTCTGAATATTTTATAATTAGGTACGTATGCAATCCAAATGGATTCTGGGAAAATATCGTTTCTTTTGCGTGACATAACTTCAACCAGTTTATTTGCAACTTGATAGTCGGCCATATTAACCGAAAATTTACTGTTACCAAGGTGTTTAAGGTCGTACGCATTTTTCCATAAGTTGGGCAAATGTTTAGAAATATTTTTTCCTATACGTAATTCGCTGGGAGTATGAGATATACTTTTTTGTGTTTCCGGCGTCTTGTCAACAATGCGTTCAATTATTATTTCATATGGGCCTGGATGGCACGCATCATACCTGTTGCTGAGAAACGCATTAATGCGATCCGGAATGTCGGAACATACTTTCTTGTTGGCGCCACAACTATCCGTCTCCATGTCTGTTGTTTTCGTAGCTACTTCCTGTAGTACTTTAGCTGCATCTTCTTCGTCCGGGGA